TAACTGAAACAGAGCAATGAAAACAGAGTAATTGAAACAGAGTAGAATATGATGAAATACCAGGGCGGAGATGATCGGGGCCGGCATTGATGAGATTAACGAGGCCAGCTCGGCCGTAGAATTTGGCAAGGAAGAAGGTGGCGTTGGCTTGGGATTGGGGGGTTTTGATCCATTGAAGACAAGGCCTGATGGAGCAGCTTTCACTGCAGCCTTTGCGAAGAACTCGGCATCCATTACAGCTAATACGCATGGCTCGATGGATGGATGAATAACGAAGAAGAATCTGTGCGTAAAATGGAAGAAATGTAGATGGAGAAAGAAACAAGGGGGGGTTTTGTTTTTGTAATGATTTCCGCAAGTGGTTTTCCAAGAAAATGGTAGTTTTCCAGTTTCGACGATTCTCTGGTTTTTTGCTAACCATTGGGAAACTTTCTTTGACCACTTCCATCCGATACCATTAATTAATTAGTTAATTAATTATTTGTTTATTCCCTCCTCCTTTTTATTACTCAATTCTTAGTGGGATTATTAAATTTTCTTTTCCATAAATAAAAAAATTTAATATTTCCACCCTCCTTTTTCTTTTTATTTTCTTCCTCTAATCATTAATTATAACTATTCAGATAAAGTTTAATAATTACTTGATTTTAAATTTTATCTCTACTAATTTTATTTTTTTAAGTAAAAATATTTAAATTCTAAATAGATTTCAATTAAAAAAATAAAATAGTTATGAAATGAGACCTTAATTTTTTTATTTCTTTTGCTTTTCAAAACTATGATCATCCTTCTCATTTTTTGTACAAATAATAATAATAATTCTTATTGAATTTAAAAAAAAATTGGAGCCATTTTTTTTTTTAAAGTTTTCAAAACATAGTTTAAATTAAAAAAAAATATATAAATAAAATACTAAAATGGTATTTAATTAATAAAATTTAAAACAAAATAGTTATGAAACTAGATTTTAATATTTTAGTTTAGAGCTTAATTATATTATAACTTTAAATGGTTGAGAGGATACGGAGTGGAATGGAAATGGAAAATTGAGAAGTAAAATACAAATTAACCTGACCACCTAATGACGTAATATTTATTATTTAAAAAAGGTTAAAAATATGTTTTAATTCCTAATTTTAGATTATTTGATTAAATTTAGTCCATATTGCTTAAAAAGTTTGAAATTAGTCTATTATATTTTAAAATTTTAAAATTGGGTTTCCATTAAGAAGAAAAGTCAAAGTTTTCTTGCCAAAACTGTATGAATTTAAAGGAAGGAATCATAAAATTTCGTGGGTTGAATGAGTTATAATGTTTTTTATTTAAAAAAAGTATTTAAATAAAAATAAAAAATGGGAAGGTGAAGAGAGTGGGGTCCATTGGAAGGCAAATCCAGTGGGCGCCCCCCATTTTTATTTTATTCAAAAGAAATATAAAGTCAAAATTGATATTATTAAATAAAAACAGTGTATATTAATGGGCTGCTTTCAACCCAAAGCTTATGGACTTTTTTTTATGCAGCCCAAAACTATAAACAGATATAAAAAAATGGCATTCAATGGATGGCATACATACATATATATATACATACATACATATATATATATATATATTGAAGGATCTCTCTCACTATTGGCCACTTCCCATCTCCACCTTTTTAATAAGCACTCTGAAACTGACCTCTCAGAACATTATTAATAATGGTCACTAAGTGAAACAAAGAACAATGGAAAGGGATTAATAACTACTCTGCATTTCTCTTCTTTATTTCCTGGATTAGTTCCTCCAAAACATTCATTAGTCACTTTAATTACACACATATCTCATCTCTTTGAGATTTTGATGAACGACGATGATGATGACGACAACGGGACTCAGCAAGAACAACCATCCTGCAGTTGATTGACTCTACTATGTACAACTTTTACACACTAATGAACAACAAAAAGAAAAAGAAAAAGAAAAATGAAAAACATCAGTTTCAATCTCCTTCCTCCACTTCAAAAACTTAGCCTGCCTTCTTCCCTTGGGGGGTGGTTGAGTTATATATATATGGTGCTCTGTGTCTTTAAGCCACAGCAGAAATGCTGCAATTTCGAGCATCTCGGTTCAGACAGTCGAATCCTTCGATTCGAACTGCTGCAGGTCGATGACCGAATTTCATTCGGGCACAACCTCCTTTACGAGTTGAGGGAGATGGTGGCCCTTCACTGGCTTGGTACATATTGTTTCTATTGCCAAATTGCTCATCTTGGACTAAAGGGTTGGATGCCCTGCTTGGTGGAGACCCCCAAAAGAATGGTGGAGATGTTCCTAATTGCTGGCTATATGTTTCACCGTAACTTTCCTATAATATAAAGTATAACCCTATTCAAAACATTGCTCGTAGCTCTTTGATCAATCGAAGATAAAACACGCAAGTTTTTGCAGGTTGAGATTGATAGAGAAAGAGTGTAGTTAAGAACCTTAGTGAGGATCATGTCCAGAAGCTCGGCTCCTGCTTTTGAATTTCCTGTCTTGGTGTGGCTGTAAGGAAGCAGATTCATATATCAGCAGCTTGTTCCCCAACAGATTCATGTTCAAACCAATATAATCAAAAGCAGAAATTTTCTAATTCTGGCAAAAACGAGTTTAAATTGGGATTAACGAACCTGATGGGCCATCTATGAGCTCTGATGGGGTCATTATCATTTGGAGTTTGCAGAACCAAACGACGTGGCTTTGGACAAACCACAGATTCCATCCTCATCTCTTGGCAGGCAGCCATGGCGTTCTGCTCATAAACCCACTTGTTCATTCTCTCAGATAGTCCTCCTAGCAGTTCAAAGATCTACAGAAAAAAAAAACTTTCAGTCAACTTGATTTTTCAGCCGTGGGAAGAAGGATCAGAAGAAGAAAAGTCCATTTTAAACTCTCTATACGTATAAATCAAGACTTCATTTACTCCCATAGCAAAATTTGAGAAAGACGTGAACATGCACAGCACAAAGCTCAAAGACGGCTCTCCAAGAAAACAACAACCAGATAAATGTTCGAGAACTCAAATTTGGGGGAAAACTGAAATGGATAGAAAATTAAGTCATATTCTCAATTAATTAACACATTCAGAAAAGTTAATTGGTGAATTAACACTCTAACCATGTTCCAGGGCTCTAAAATCTCATAACCCTACACCCTCCATTAACAACCAAACCCGTAATTGTAAGCTCAAAAAGAAGCAAGAAATTCCAGCAGATTGGAGCACAAAAGCAGCAATCCAAACCCAAAAACATCTCCAATGTTGTAAAACAAGCAGTATTCTAAGTCATTAACCAACACAAACACAGAGAGGAGGAGGAGAGACCTGAAGCGACGAGCTCCTCCGCAGAAAGGAGGATCCGAAGGAGGAACAGAAGTAGAGAGAGAGAGAGAGAGAGAAGGGAACAAGTGAGAGAAGCAGATGGAGGGATTTGAAGAGAAACGAAGAAAGAGGAGTTGCAGGAGAGTTGGAGCTCAGTATTCATAGGACGGGGATGAAGAAGATGGGTAGGTTGGAAATTGGAGACGCGCCATTCTAAGCTGCTTTAACCACCATTGGATGGTGATTCGCTTAATGATTTCATCTCCCGCCGTCCATTCAGTTCAGTGGGCCCCGCCCTGGGAGATTTTTCGGCCACATGATTCCGGATGCCACGCGTTTATTAATTTTAATTTGTAGATCTGCAACCTCAATAAAAGGAAAAAAAAAAAAAAAAAAAAAAAAAAAAAAAAAAACAAACAAACACCATGCTCATCTTTTTCCTTTTATTTTTATTTTTCTTTTTTGCAAATACTATTACAAGATAAATTCCAACGCTAACTCGAATAAACTTACGAAGTCATTTTTTTTTCTAATCCCCGTGCTACCACTATCCGATATTATTCATTTTATTCTGTTAAATTTATAAATGTGTCTGATAGGAGAGATTTTCACACCCTTATAAGAAAAAATAATATATAATAAAAAGAAGGTAAGAAGATATTTATGATTTGAAAAATATTATAATAGATTCAATGCTTAGAAGCACTATGATTGTGTCTTGCGTCTCCCTCTCCCTTTTTTCCCTTTATTTTAACACTCTATAGATATTGGAATCACACAAACTGATGTCCCATAATTTTTTTTTCTTTTTTCTTTTTTAATTTATTATTTATAAGTCAAATTAAGATTTTAAAACCATATAATAAAAAGTATATATATTACTTAAGTTGGACGAACGTGGAAGTGTAAAATTGATTTGAATTGTTTATATATATATTTTAAAAGTAGGCGAGAAAATCAAGACGCTACAAATATTAATATGATTGGGTTTCATTAATTAACTTTAATATTCTTTAATCTCATGTTTTTAAGTCAAAGTTATTATATTAATTTTGTATTTAACTAATTATTAAGCCTAACCCCTCGACATGGAAACAAAGGTGTCCATTCTTGTCTCATGTTTCTTGCTTTTTTTTTTTCTTTAAATTTATTAAATTTATTTCCTAATAATCCGCCCTTTTTTCATTTTGTCGTTATCTTATTGGCATTACGTGTGAATAAATGGGCTTTTGTGTTTTGCATGGAGTTTATGGGCCTTTTACGTTTCTAAGTCCAATAATGTACCATGGGCCGTGAGTGAGGCCCATTTCATGGAGTTCATTTTCTTGTTATTATTTTAAAAATAATTTCTCAATAGAATTATTGATTTTTTTAATTAAGAAACTTTTTATAAAATATAATAAAATTATTAAAAGAGGGCAACTTTATTTAAAATAAAAAATTACAAAACTTTTTTTTTAAAAAAATTTTTGTTATAAAAAGAATAAAAATAGGTCCGGTGTAGTATAATATTGTCGAATTTAAACATAAATTCTCGTGACTTTATTTTTTATTTTTCTAAAACCCATTGGGCAAATAATTAAAGAAAAAAATTATGAAGTAATTTATATTTATTTGGTGTGATTTTCTAAAACCCTAAAGTAGAAAGAAGTATAATGTATACATGAAAATGAAGATTTATTCCAATACAATCCATTGAATATAATAGAGGAAGAAGCCATCAGCCTGTTCTCTTGTTTTGAAATTAAAAGCTAAACCCTAATTGAAAAGCTAAAGTTATAAAGCAAAAAATGAAAGCTTTTGAATTTGTCCCCATCCTTGTTGCTTCACTTTCCAAGTGATACAAAATCATATCTCCAAGCCATAAAATTCCTCATAGGCTTCACTTTAATTTCTTCATCTCTTCACATATGCAACTTTTTTCAAAAGGGTTTCTCCCAACATATTCACTTTCCTCCATGGATGACTCACCAAACCAACAAAATGTCATGTTTTTTGTGTCTCCTTTTTTGGTGGGCTCTCTCTTGAGCTTACCTTTAATTCATCAATGAGGTGGGAAGAAAATAGGTGAGGAATCTCTATGAACTTTCCCGTCCAAAATCCCAACTTTCCTCATTTTCGCCTCGCACCAATGGAGTTGTTGTTCGTTTATTATATCCGCGCTTCTCAAAACCCTAGACACCACTTTTAGGTCTATAAGACCCATCAAAATCTCCATTTCTTCCTCGACTCCCATCTTCCGTTTCCTCCTCAAGCACTTCCCAGCACGACGGAGTTGTTTAAGCTTTTTCGTCTTCTGCAAATTTTTTTCAAAAAAGGGTTATTGTTTTGAGTAAAAGAATAAAGGGAGAGTTTTTATAATGTAAAAATTGTAAAAATGAGCTTACTTTTTGGTTCACTTTGTTCATGAGTTGGAGGAGATTTGGATCAAGTGAACCCTTTTTTTTCCTCTTGAAAAATGAAGCTATAATTTGAGAGGGTTTCTCTTTATCTGCTTTCAGGAAATTCATGTATGTTCTTATTCCTTCTTCCATTATGGTTTGAAATGAGTGTGAGGATATTCTTGAACCATCTTCCTTTTGTTCTTCATCTGAATCTTCAAAACATTCAAATCCGTTCTTCATTACTTTAATCTCAATTACTTTAATAAAGCAAACCACAAAAAGAAGTTGGCTTTCATGCTATCAACGCATCAATTCATACTCACTTTTTCATATGCTTTGTTTATATTAAATTAAAAGATGCATAGTGTGTGTTATCTACTCATTCATTAAATATTATATACCAAAAAGAAAAAATCAACTTTTTTGAAAGAATTGTTAATAATTAATGTACCTTTTCAGTTTACTTCGCTATCTTACTAGCTACGCTTTAGTTTCCATTGTTCAAATCTTTGTTAGGAATCACGAATCTCCACAATAGTATGATATTGTCCACTTTGAGCATAAGTGCTCTCGTGGCTTTGTTTTTGGTTTCCCCCAAAAGATTCTTACTAATGGAGACGTATTACTTACTTATAAACTCAGAATCATTTCGTAAATTAGTCAATGTGGTGGGACTCCTTCCCAACCATTTTTAACAATTTGAAGAAACAAAAAGGTAAAAGAATGTACCTATGAATTCGGGGACTTGAAGCAAATTAGGAGCCAAACGTCTCATACGAGCATAGATCTCAGGGCGACGGCCGTGGTCGTAAGGCTCATTCTCGATATAACGCTGAAGAAGAACTTGAAACTGTTGAAACTGTTGAGCAAGTTTGGCTGGACATCCAGTGTCCAAACCTGTGTTACAATTAGAACTCAGTTTCTTGTTGACAAAGTTGTTATAGTTCCAGTTAAGAGCCTCCCATGTCCAGCAAATTTGTGCCACATAAGCAGCCTCCAGCTCTTGATAAGGATTTTGGTTCACATGATGTGAATGCTTCTTGTTAATGGTTGATAACTTATGAACAATCCTGTCTGATACTGATCTTGGACACATTTGAATTAATCTGAGTGATTCTGTGTGGAATTTGATGGGAAATGGGTTATGATAAAGCTTGGATTTTTGTAAAGAAAATAAAGTAAGATTGAATAATGACCTGTTTCATGAAGCTTTTGGGCTGTGATTCTGTGAAGAAACATCATTTCTTCATCATACTTCTGGAAAACAGTGTAGGATTCCCATTTGGGGCAGCTCCTCCTTGAAGAAGAAGAAAATGGATCATCAGTGCCAGAATCTCTACAGTTTATTGAGCTTCTCCACTCTGATGAACTCTTTGAAGTTGATCCAACGGTGCATGAATCCCCAAATATCTCTTCTTTTTCATCCATTTTAGTTGCTGCAAATACCAAATATTTCTCGTTCTCATTAACCTTCTTAACTTCCTCCTCCTCCTGTTGTAACCGTCCAAGCCCACGGCTAGCAGATATCGTTACCTCTGGATTTTCCTTTAAAATTTTTAAAACACGTCTATTAGGGAGAGATTTCAATCTCACACGTATTTCTAAGATTTATAAGACTGACCTTAAGTTGTTCTAGCATATGGTGGTCTTCCTCTTGTTGTTGTTGTAAGGGTTGTGGGGACTCATAAACTGAGCTATCAGGGTCTGTGGAGGAGTCCATAATCCAGGGCTCCTCCAAGTCAGTGAGTAATACTTCTTCTTCTTCATCTGGAAGCTGGCTTTGCCACCGACTCATTCGAGTTTCGGCTTCTTCGTCGAGGTACGACACTGTTCCAGTCTCGCCGTGGATTCCGCTGCCATATCCTTCTTCTTCTTCTTCCTCCTCCTCCTCCTCCTCGGATGAGAAGTTGTATTCATATTCATACTCATATCTGCAAACAAAACATTGATATCAAGAAATATATAATATGATAGATAGAGATGGGAGTGATGATGATGATGATGGTATCATAAAAGTAGAAAAATGGATATTTGATGATGAAAGTGATGACCTTGGGAATAAAGGGGTGCCCAGGAAGTGGAGGAATTTGAAAAGTAGAATGGAGGAGAAGGAGATGAAGAAGAAAAGAAGGAAGAAGGAGGTGGAGAGAGTGTAGAATAGCCTTAGAACAGCTTCTTGTTGTTCTTGTTGTTCTTGTTGTTTAGGCAAATATTGCATTTTTGTTGGTGTTGATTATTGGTCTGAGATCATGATCTCCTCCTAAGTACTCCCTTCTTCAAAATCAAAAGGAAAAAGGAAAGAACCATCTCTCACAAATTTTATTCAAAAAGCAAAACACAAATGGATTCATATATACTTTGGTTGCTTTTTATATCTCATGCCTATCATCTTTATGTTTTTGTCCATTTCCCAGCTTCAAAATCTCATCTTTAACCCTATAAATGAGGCTATAATCTCCATGGGGCTCCAAAAAAGGATGCATCCCTTCAACACTAACAGACAACTCTAATTCAATGAAGAGCAATGAAAGAATGTCACTTTTTGAAGGAACATGGACGAAGGATTGATCAAAGGGGGAGGGAGAGGGTGATTTTGTAACCGTTTAAGCCTACCACTAGTAAATATTGTCTACTCTAGTCTGTTACATATCGTTGTCAACTTTACGATTTTAAAACGCATTTACTAGAGAGAGGTTTTCATACTCGAAGAATGCCTTGTTCCCTTCTTCCACCAATGTGGGATCTCAAAATTCATCTCCTTTAGGGGCCAATGTCCAGTGTTTGGCTCTGATACCATTTTTTAACGTGAGATCTCACAATCCACCCCCTTTGGGAGTCGGCGTCTTCACTGGCACAACGCCCGGTGTTTAACTCTATACCATCCAATGTGGGATCTCACAATACGGGGCCAACATCCTTGCTGACACAACGCTCGGTGTTTGGCTTTGAAACCATCCAATGTGGGATCTCACAACAGGGGACCAGCGTCCTCGTTGATACAATGCCCTGTGTCTGGCTCTGAAACTATCCAAGGTGGGATCTCACAATCCACCTCCTTTTAGGGCTAGCATCCTCGCTGGCACATTGCTCGGTGTTTGGCTCTAAAACCACCCCATGTGGGACGCTGATACACTGCCCGGTATCTGGCTCTAAAATCACCTTATGTGGGATGCTAGCACACTGCCCGATATTTGGCTCTGAAACCACCCAATGTGGGACACTGGCACACTGCCCGTGTCTGGCTCTGAAACCACCCCACATGGGACACTAGCACGCTGCCCGGTGTCTGTCTCAAAAACCACCCAATGTGGGATGCTGGCACACTACCTGGTGTCTAGCTCTAAAACCACCCAATGTGGGACGCTGACACGCTACCCAGTGTCTAGCTCTAAAACCACTCAATGTGGGACGCTCGCACACCGCCTATTGTCTGGCTCTGATATCATTTATAATCATTCAAGCCCACCGCTAACAAATATTGTCTACTTTAACCCGTTACATATCGCCGTTAGCCTCACAATTTTAAAACGTGTCTACTCACTTGAGCCAACTAAAGTGATTCATAATCATTAGTGCATGAATATTGAGTTGACATAAAAAGGGTTTAAGTTGAGGATTAATGAATTATAATCCCTTAATTCATATGCTTAGCATCTTAATTCCTCCTTAAAACCCAATTTCACGTAACATAATATATTAATGTACCAAAAGAGTGTGCGACTAAAGCCTTACACAAAATGTTTATTAATACAACTTTATGACTAAATGGTTTAAAGATTTAATTAAATACTTAATTAAGTGAAAAAGAGAGATAATTTGAATAAATACACACGTGGGTGAGTTTCTAGAAAGCCTAAGAGATTTTGATTACGTAATACATTGAAAGTTTGTAGTTAGGAATGAAATTAGAGAGAAACCCAGAGATTTGCATCTGGTTTGGTCACCCTTTTAACTACTTCCCTTAATATAACCTTATTTTTATATCCGCTAATTAAACAACAAAATCTTTCATTTTTACCGTATCAATACGAGTACGATATCAGAATGAGTTCAATATCAATACGAGTACGATATCATAATGAGTTCAATATCAATACGAGTACGAGATAAACAAATCTTCTCACACCTCTCTGATTGCATTTTAAATAAATACTTACTTCTTGTTTAACAATACCGTTTTACATAAAGAGTATCTAGATACGTCGGTTCCGATTTAGCGTATTTGAGGTTTAGCTTTTAGGGTGTTGGGTGGGTAAGAATGGGTAAAGGTGGTTGGAATTTGGATTTTATACTCTTTATACCTCAAATACCAGCTACTCATTATATTTTGTTCATGCAAATCAATGGCATTTTGGTCATTTTGCTATCTGTACAAAAAAAAAAAAAAAAAAAAAAAAAAAACCCTCATATTTCCATGCATATCTTTGTCAAAGTGTTAGCTGTAATAAACAAGATAAAAGTACAGTCTTGGTAATGGCTGCAGCTTCCCAGCTTCTTCTTCAAGGCTCTTCAGATTATCATCTCATCCATTTATAACCCCATCTCGCTTCGAGTTTCAAAGCTTCTTCTTCTTCTTAAAAACCCCGACGACACGAAAAGAATCGATAGCGTTCTTCAATGGACGATAATCTCCCTCCTGGATTCAGATTCCACCCTACTGATGAAGAACTCATTTCTTATTACCTCACTCAAAAGATTTCTGATTCTTCTTTTACCTCTAAAGTAATCGCGGTCGTTGATCTCAACAAGAACGAGCCTTGGGATCTCCCAGGTATATTATATTACATTTCTAGTGTTTTAGATAGGGGTTTACATTTAACCCGACAATCCAAACCAACCCAACTCAAATTACAAGAGTTGGGTTGAGCTGGGTTATTTTTTCTGAACCCGAATTGTGTCGATTCGGAGAGTGTTTTATCGTGTTTTTGTATGATTCAGCCAAAGCTTCAATGGGAGAGAAAGAATGGTACTTTTTCAGCTTGAGAGATCGAAAGTATCCAACAGGGCTTCGAACAAATCGAGCCACGGAAGCTGGCTATTGGAAGACAACAGGAAAGGACAAGGAAATCTTTGGAGGTGGTGCGTTGGTTGGAATGAAAAAAACCCTTGTCTTTTACAAGGGAAGAGCCCCTAGAGGCGAGAAAAGTAACTGGGTTATGCACGAATACCGCCTCGAAAATAACCATTTTTTCAAACCTTCAAAGGTTCGTAATACTGCATTATAGTTTATCATATATATCATATTTGATCTTGATTATAAATAGAGAACCTTCGTACTTTTTCCCAGGAAGAATGGGTAGTTTGCAGGGTGTTTAAGAAGCAAAATCCACCAAAAAAGCCACAGCAATCATCGTCCTCTCAGCCTTGTCTTTCATCTCCATGTGATACAAACTCAATTGTGAATGAATTTGGAGATATTGAATTATCAAATTTCAATGGGTCGTCTTGTAATTTCACCAATAATGTTTCAGCTCAAGCATATGAAACCAACAACATGAACATGAACATGAACATGAATTGGGGTGCACCAATGAATGATCAAACAGCTTCAATTACCACTCTTCCTTCACTTTCATCATGGCCATCTAATCCCAATCTTCTAACTTCAAATCTTTCAATGAATTCCCTTCTTCTCAAGGCATTGCAACTTAGAACCATGAACCATTCTCAATTTGGAGCTAACCCTTTGAGCTTCCAAGCTTCTTCTTCTTCTTCCAAAGTTTTCGAGTCTCCGCAACAACAACAGCAGCAGCAACAACAACAACAGGAGCAACCATTGAACTTGGACTCCCTCTGGTGAAAATGCCACGCTAATTAACGCTCTTGTAATATGTGAGATCAATAAGGGAAGTTTTAGGTATATGTAATTTGAATGTGAAGTTTTAGGGTTTAGTTGAAAATGTTGTATGTTCATGTTGATGTTGAACCAAAATCCATTTCAGTGTTAAGGGTTTGGGGAGAAACCCCAAGTCCTTTTGTTTGTTAATCCAATCTTGACATGATGTATACCCATCCTTTTAGGTTATTAATCTGCCAAAACTTAATCTAGTGGATATTAAAAACAAATATTAATTAGATTTGATTCAAAAACTAGAGAGATCATAACAAAATGAATGAATAAATAAAAGTTTTATGGACTATTAAATTTAGAGTTTGACCCATATTCTAAATCTAATAGGGTGTCAATGAACTTGGTTTTGTATATGATTTGAAAATGAGTGACCAAACATTCAAACGTTATGAAATTTCTTGCATATATTAAATTTTAAATATATGATTTTGTTGAATAGTTTGTGATACTCGAGTCAGGAGGGGTATGTGAATGAACCAAGACTGCATCCAAATGCGAGCTATTCTAAAGATAAAATGACTTAGAAATGCTTAAAAGAACGGAAACTTACTACCTATACCAATAAAGTGCATCTTCCTTTTTAGGGGCTCAACCGTTGAAACATTATAGTTAAGCGTACTTGGAGCAATTCTATGGGACTTGTGTTGGTTTTCCTAAGATGCATGTGAGTGAGAACAAAATATGCTGAAGGACACATGTTGGTTTGTGGGGAATAGTTTTCACTCTTAAAAGCGAAGAAGAAGTAATATGAGTAGGTCGCAAGAGAATGCTGGAGCTATCGGGTGTCAAATCCAAATTTCGAATTCTCAAAAAGTAAGTAATATGACACATTGTAGGGAAATACTGGGGTTATCAAGTGTCGAATCCGAATTCTAAATCCTGAACTTGGGTCGTTACATAATTAAAACATTAAGATTATCCATATCAATACTTTGAGTTTTTTTTCAAAGGTTTTTTTTTTGGGGGGGGGGNGGGGGGGGGGGGGGGGGGGAGATGTGTATTTTTCAAAGTAATTGACCGAGAGTTTTACATATCATGTATCGATCATAAAGAGTTGACTTTCTAAACCCTATGAATAAGAAGTTCCAAAAGTAAAACCTAATTGTTTGACTTTTGACTTTCACATTGCTTTAACTCAATTCACACGTGCATGGTGGCCCATACATTCATAGAATATTTCCATCAACGTTTTAAAAAAATAAAAATAGCCATATAGGTACCATGTGCAATTGTATTTCATTGTTGAAAGCTTTTTTAGGCGGAATTCTAAACTTAACTATTTCCTCTTATTACGAGCTCATTCAAATACCGACATCTTAAAGATGATTATTCTTCTAACATTTCAAACTTTCACTCTATGATTATACTATTACAAAGATGATTGTTCTTCTACCGAGAAAGTCTCGAAATATGTACCTTTTCAACGTTAAAAAAAAAAAAAAGAAGAAGAAAAAATTCTCTAGCTCTCAATTATTAAGAACTAGTCAAAC